CGCCTGTCTGATCTCTTAGTTAAAAGGACCTAGGGCCCTGATCTATGCGGAATTGTCATTACAATACTGTGTATTTATATATATAGAATCCCGTAATTTGAACCGAGCTGTGCGCTTGTCAGGTAAGGCACATTATCTCACGTATCTCTTATCCAAATGTTTCATATGTCACATCATTCAAGACTTTGTGCCAGCAGTATGTTTACAAATATTCAATTTTTCCGCATGACATTAACAACATAAAAAGAAGTACAGAAAGAAATAGAACAACGATAACTTAGAGATCGCCGACAACAACTCTTACAACGACGTAATCGGTACATCAACGGACGAAAATAACCCAATCGACATTTAAAGGCATTGTACACTTGCTAACCCCGGAATCCTCCAGGACCTCCGCGTACTACACCGCGAACTGCGCCACGAGCCATACCAGCACCTCTGAAACTTAGTGATTGTGATACTTGATGCTAGAGGTCAAACAGTGAAACGAAAAACAAAACTTATATTCCAAAAACAAATAAACTGGTTTTCAAAATAAAGAAAAAAGATAACAATGTACCTGGCACGGAACGATGTTCCTCGTCCACCACGACCTCCTCTTGGGTCGCCTCCCATACCCATACCAATGGCTCCCTAAAACAGCAAATGGTAAATCTTCGTAAAACTAACAATTTGTTTTCTTCAACGCAAAAGGATCCCATACAAATCGAAATCTCGTAATATGTGGAGTAACTCATACCTTTTGTGCACGCCCGATATTTTTGAACATAGGGGCGTTTTTGAGCATATCTGGCAGTATCATAAAACGAATCTGTAGCAATGCATTGACGTAATTTTTTATTCAACTCGAGAAACTATTAATGCAGGCCAAATCACCTTATTTCCTCGAACAAAAACGTTGTCGAGTTGATGAGTTCGACCATCTCGGAATGTGACACATACTTCAGCCATTTGACAATTCATGTTATCTTCAGCTTCCAGCAACTTTCCACGGTATACTTCACCTATAATATTTTACATTGAGTTGATGTAACTGTAGCATCAAAACCGTAGAAATTTATGTACCTGTGACGGTTTCCAAAGTCACTACGTGTCCTTCAGCTTCGTGTAAAATTTTGATTGGTACACCTACCGAGGTCATTTCTGTAATTTTTTTTTTGGAATTAGAGTGACGATGGAATGCGGTCCTATACAACGGGCTGAATGGCACGTATAGTAAGTGCTATAAAATTTCTAAACGCTCATGGCTAGCAATTCTACCAGAGTAGACAACGTCGGAGTTGTCCCTAAGCTAAATAAGTCATATATGCAACAATAATCAATAAACAAGAAAATCTCTGATTAACACATTCAAGATAATGCCGTTTATGAGTTGTCATTACAATAGGCCATGTCCAAATTATTCACACGCTGAATTTGAATACCA